GTCTTATCTTAATACAATTGCCTCGTGATGAATAGACATTATTAATTCAAGTGAGTGAACGCCTAGCATTCAGAACCCGACTGATCTTCGGTCCTTCGGTCTAAGCTAGAGTACGTCACTTACCAGAGAACATTTCTAAATCCCAATCTACTAACAGCTTGATCGCACTGAACTCACCAAGGAGTACATTATTCCACTTCCTCTATTGTCAATCCCCGTCAAATGATGACTACTGTAGCCAAAAAGACTAGAAATTAAATTTTTAAGCTTACAAATCCTTTTCGGAAATATCCATTTGGAAATCACATTAATTTTTCTCTTTTGAACAACGCAATTTAATCTATTTTAAAATTAATCCCTTTTGAAACTAACTACGGTAACCATCAAAGAACAGCGCAAGTTTTCTTATATTTATTAAACGATCAAAATACAATATTTGGAAAAAAAAAGGGGGCGCAAACGACGAGGGATAACTCTAATCGTCGAGGAACCGGCCCCGGATCCTGTATTCAAGCTCATCAACAGGACGTGGCGGGTTCCTCCTATCCCCCAACATTTCGAGGTACCCTACCAGGTTATAGACCTGAGCCTGGTCTAGATGGCTTCTTAAACCATCAGGATGGCGGACCCAACCATCAAGGGCACCACGGAGGAGATTCTTCATCTCTCCGAAGTCTTCAGGGCTCGCATAGTATGTCTGCTGACATACTAAAATCTCCCCTCTCACAATGAATTCATGGGCCATAATATGGCGACGGAGCTCATGGTTCTCCTTCAACTCTTTCACATCCCCAGATCCATTATCTCCAAACCGCTCCTCACTAATAAATCCCGTCAAATAATTGATTATATCCATCATGAACTATAATGGATAAACTAATGTAATAACGCGATGAGAAAAGAGACTTACGAAATTCAGAATGTCCGTGGAAGGACAGTTAATCCGAGTAGGGAGCTCCCGCTCCACAATGAGACCTTGAAGGTGCAAAAGCACCGTTTGGAGAGACATAAAGACTTCCAAAAACATTTTTCGCAAGAGAAGAGAGAGAAAGAGAGAAAGAAAACTTTCTTTTTAAGCTGAGCGAAGTGGATTCACTGAAATACATCAAATTTTCATCATTTCGACAAAGAAAAGAGAGATTTCACGACTAAGAGAGACAATACGAAACGAAGAGAAAAGGAAAAGATAAAAAGATTTTAGTTTTAGCGAATAAGAGTAGAGAATACG